AGGGGCAGTGCCCCCATCCCCATCCCCATCCCCATCCCCGTGTCTCTGCCTGCCACAGCCAGGTGATGCTGCCCAGGGCCACTGGGATGTCACCAAGTGCCACCTCACAGGCTGCAGCTGGGAAATGCTGTGCCAGGGCCGGATGGAGTCCGTGGAGAAGGGACCACAGCTCTGCTGTTCGGGTGGTGGGTTAGGGCAAGGAGCCATCATCCAGCCCCAGAGACACTGCCATGGTCAGAGCTATAACCCCCTGTGGGCCAGGGAAAAGGTGGCAGCAGGGAGGGAACAAGGGACAATGGGCATGAGCAGCACCACGGGAGCAGCGGCCCCACTGCAGCGGCTGTGCCAGGCGCCCCTGCCACCACCACCAGCCTGGAGGGACCAACCACAGACAGGAACCTCTTGGGGTGTCCCCTGTGTCCCCTGGATCCTTACGTTCCATTCAGGGCCTTGACGCTGGCCACGCGGTCCTGGAAGCCGTGGGCCCAGAGGCTGGGGACGTCGTCATCCACGATCTCCATCTTCCTCCCGGTGTATCCCGCGTTCTCAAACAGGTGGATCTTGTGGTCGGCGCTGTCCTGGGGGAAAGGGCGGGTCAGGGGCCGCCCCCAGCCCCGGTGGCCACCCCAGCACAGCCCTACTCACAATCTGGAGGGGCCGGATGGACATCAGGCTGTCGCTGCTGTGGCTGTTGGACCAGGAGTCCCAGCGGGGGTAGTCGCCCTTCTCCAGCACAAACTGCTCCCCAGCATAGGCCTGGCGCTCGAAGCCCAGCCACCTGCAGGACCCCAATGTCAGGGGGATGCTCTCCCTGCCACCCCCTGGGGCTGCTCCATCTTCCCCACCCCAAACTTACGGGCCAGACTCCACCTGGATGGAGCCCACCTTCTCCATCTCCTTCTCGGTGATGTTGGGGAGCTCCTCTGTCAGCTCACACCTTTTCCCCTGGAAATTCTCCAGCTCGTAGATCGTGATCTGAGGTGGGGAGAGATGCTGTCAGCCAGGGGAACACCCCAGGAAATGGGGGCAGCAGTGGATCAAAGGGCTCTGGCCGTGTCCCTCCATCCTGGCCACCCTGTGCCGATCTCACTCCTCGCCCGACAGAGCCAGGCCCTGCCACTGTCTCTGCCCTGACAGAGCTCTGGGCCAAGCTCCGGCCAAGGGTGTTTGGTAAAGCACAGGCTGGAATTTTGTCCATGACAGGCTGAAAACCAGCTCAAACACAGCGCTGGAAACAGATTTCCTGAGAATTCCTGAGCCATGGGCTGCCTCTCCTACTCCCAGCCTGGCCCTTGCCCATCCATCCCTTATCACTGCATCCTCCAGATCCAAGCATCCCCTTGACCTGGCCTGGCACAAGCTCTTTGTTCAATGTTTTCTTCTAAGCCCTGCCAGGTGCAGAGACCCCAGTGCCTCCCCAGGCTGCCCTGCTCCCAGCAGAGCCTCGAGGCTGAGCTGCAGGATGGGTTGGAGCCAGTCCCAGTGGTCAGATCATGGCACTGAGCAGGGCCCAGGGTGCCCAGCACCATTCAGGGACCAGGAGGGTCAGTGGGGTGACCAGGCACCCCCTGGCACTGTCCCAAAGGGGTCACAGCTGCAACACCTGAGCCTGGGCCAAGGGCAGAACCTCCTGCACACACCTCATAATGGGGGCTCAGGGGACAGAGGTGACACCCAGGTTCCTCAGGATCCTCTGTGCACCTCAAAGCAATAAACAGCCCCAGCTCCTGGCACCCCTCTTTCCCACTCCAGCCTTCCCTGTCCAGGAGCAGCTTTGTGGGAAGCCACTACATCCTCTCCTGACTTTAAAAACTGATTTACTTTCAACCAACCTACGAGCTGAATCCAAACCTACAAACGCACCTGGGGAGTTTCAGTGCCTGGGCCCACAGCTGATCCTGCTGTGCCAGGATGCTTCATCTCCTGCATGAAATCCCTGGGCAGCTGCACACCAGCCTGGCCAGCCAATGTCCTTGGCAGCCAGGGAGCAGCAGCAGCAGATCCTCAGCTCCAGCTGCTTCCCAACCTGAGCCCCCCTGGGCTCAACACCAGAGCGGGGCCACTACCCACTCCTGTCCCCAGCACCAGCTGCAGAGCTGGCAGTGACTCCAGCACCGCATCCCACGGCTCCACCCAGCATCCATCCGTAACCAGTGTCCCCAGTACACCCCAGGATACCTTGTAGCTGCCACCTCGCTCGCCAGCACCCTCCCCAGTCGCCATCTGCTCGGGGGGACTTTGCTGCTCGGTCATTGTGCCTGGAAAACCCAAATTGCAGGAAGTTAAGGCGGGAGGTGCCGGGATCTACAGCCGATAATGAAACACAAAGGATGAAGCTGGCACGGAACAGCAGCACAGGTTAGCACAGACCCTGATGCAGCAGCTGTAAATCCCACGGATGTCCAGGCTAGGAGCAAGCTCTGTTATCCATCCTCCTCTCCCTCCTGCACATGGGCCCCAAATCCTCACCCAGCCACCAGCAGGACTGAACTGAGCCATGTCCCAAGTGCCATGGAGCCCTCTGCCCGGGGCAGCTCGCCCAGTTACCACTGAACTCCCATCTCACAGCCTTCGTTCCCAGCAGGAATTTGTCAGCTTCCAGCTGCTGACATCTTTCCCCACAACATAAACCTGATACTTCTCCCTCGCTCCAGCATCCTGGGGGACACCAAACCCCACAGCTGGAGCTGCTGCCACCGCCTTGGCCGGGGGGGGATGGTGGTGAGAGCCCCCTCCTCGCTCTCCAGGAACATCCGCAAAACTCCGCTCCAACACTGGAACGCGCCAGGCTGACAAGGGGCTTAGGAGACCATTAAAGGAGTTTGATCAACGTCCTGAATCAAACCCTTCAGCTTCACTTCTCATCACGCACGAGCCAAACCCTCCGCTGGGGGACACCCCGACTGAGAAACACAAAAATTCTTTGAGAAAGCCCCTTCAGTCCCGGTGGTGCCGCCGCTACCTCTCCGTGTGGTTCCGCTGTGCCGGGCGGCGCGGGCGGCCCCGCTATTTATGGCTTGCTTCTGAACAGAACAGCAGAATTCCCCGAGCGCTGATACAGCAGCTGCGTCCACGGAATTCCATCCATGAGATTTCATCTCAATAGCGCGGGCGCGCAGCGAGCTATGGAAACGTCATTCAGATTTCTCGCGGCCGTCCCTCGGACACGGGCCACTCGATTTACAGAAGATTAACGTCGAAATTCGCATCAGCACGTTCACGCTGCTTCTTGCCAGGTTCTCTGGAAAACTCTGCCATCAGCAGTTCACGGGAGGGTTTAGCCTGGAAACCGAGCGCAGCGTGAAGCAAAAACCAGGCCGAACGTCCCCGTTTGTGTGGGCTCCAGCGCAAGGTGTGACACAGGGCCGGGGTCGGCTCCGGGAGCTCGGCAGAAAGCTGGAGCAGCTCAGGGTTTCCAGATTGGCAATCTTACTTGAACTTTGGTCCCAGGCAGATTCTCTCTCCGTTAAGTCTCTTTTCTTTCTGTGCGCCCTAGTCTGGCTCCCTCCCCGGCATTTCCCAGGGACACGCTGGGAACACATCCTGGGGTGTGTGATGAGGGATTTCTGGAGCCTGGCACAAGGGTTTGTCCATCCTCACGGGCACAGCATGATGTAAGGGTGGGGAACACAGCCCTTCCACACCAGGCACCAAACTGGGAGCATTTCACCTGCTGGTAGTGGCCCTGATTCCCTTTTCACCTGCCAGAGTCTCTTCAGACCCAAACCATCCAGATTCCTCAGGGAACATTTCATTCAGCTGCACATATCCCCATTTTCTACCCTTGAAGGTTTTTTTTTACCTGCTCTGAGCGTGGCTCATCTTGAAACCAAGAACTACCCATGAAACCTTTACTGAAATTGCCAGAAAAGTGAATCCCCTGGGCCAGGCTGGGCAAACTGAAGGGGAGAGGGATGGAAACCTCTCCTGTTGTACGTGTTAGAATGAGGCTCTCCAGCCCCATCCCATCCCTGCTCTCGCTGGGTGATGCTCCAGGCCTGGTGTGACAGGGATGACTCAGGAGGTGTCTCCAACTGACTCTTCCTCACTCTGCCCATCCTGGGGTCCCCATCAGAGCTGTCCCATAGGTGCCACAGCTATGACAGGCACAGACTGAGGAGGAATGGATTGATTTCTGTCTTACCAAACACAATATCACCTGTCCTCAACAAATTAGGAACACAAAATTTCTTGTGCCCGTCCCTTCCTTCCAGCATCCTCATTCACCGGGTTCTGTGAATCTGGACCCTGTGAATCTGTGAATCCAGGGCCCTGGATCTGCCTCTCCCAGCTCTCCACACTGACAAGGCAATTTCAAAAACACGACAGAAAGGCACTGGATCTCCTTGATGCCTCTCCCAAACAGACCTTAATTTCCTCTCGCTGTCAGCCTCTTAAATCCCTTTGAAAAACGACTGTTAGAAAATAGATCCTTTTTATTAATACCTGGCAAAGCTAAACTGGAGCTGTAATGGTACAGAACAAAAAATACAGTGGCCAGAATATCTTCATACCCCAGGAAACTGTGCAATACAAAAGACAGGATTTCTATCACACAATGTTACTTACTGTGACCCAGACTGACTGACTCTATAAGGCTAAGTGGAATGATATAAAAGCTTCATCTCCACAAGAGCTCCTTCAAAACCAGATTTGATCTAATTTTGTTTAATATGGAATGAGAGAAACCCATAAACCACCAGACCTTGGCTCTCCTCCTGTGCCAATCCCACCAGAAGGACCTGAAGTTATTTCAGACTATTTCTGCAATACATTTATCCTTGAGAGAACAGGACAGCCATGGAACAGAGCTCACCACCAGCTTGGGAAGGATTCCCACCCTCCACCCTCTCCACTCCCAAGGTGAGCAGAACTAGGCCTGGACTCTGCAGCCCCTGCCAGAACATCCCCAAATCCATTAAAGCTCCATGGAGCTGTTTTCATACAATCACAGGATGGTTTGGGTTGGAAGGGACCTTAAAGCTCATCTCATTCTTCCCCCCTGCTCCCCCAACCTTCCATTAGACCAAGCCTTGTCCAAGCTGGCCCCAAAATCCTTCACCTCCTAGAAGTCCATCTTAAAAGGAATTAAAGCAAATACCCGTTTCTCCTTCTCAGCACTGGGCTGAAGGGATGGATCCAACACCTCCCTCACTTGGCTGCAGCTGCTCTTGCACCAGGGTCCTTTGTGGAGGTGCAGACACCTCGGGCCCACAGGGAGCACAGTTATGGTGACAGGTCTGTACTTCACTGGAATAATTTGTTTTACCCCCCAGAGCTTGGGGACAGCAGTGACAGAGCTGAGGAATTTGGCCCAGAGGTTTTGCACCTGGATACACCTTGTGAGGCTGAGCCACACCCTGTGGCAGCACCCCAGAATTGCCCATCTCCTCCTGAAACACAACACCCCTGCAGAAATCTGGGATCTGCTGTTCCAAACCTTTTACAGGTCACACTTTGCATTCCCAAAGCTGCCCCACCTGCATTTCAGTTTGCAAGTAACTTGTCTGCAAACAAGAAACAGGGTGAAACAAACTTTCACCCTGGGAATAATCCTGTGGAAAGTCTTGGAATGTCAAAGGTTGGAAAACCAAACATTGCTTCTTTCTCTGCAGCATGTGAAAGGCTCTGGTGGATAAGGACCAAACTGAAGATTCAGAGATGCTAAAAAGGTGAATTTGCAAAGAGAAAAATAAAAAGGAAGAAGTCCACAAGTGGGAATTCCAATAAAAAGCAATGGAGCAGCCGTGCAGGTCCCTGACACGCCACCCAGAGCAGGGATCGCTGGGGATTGTGAGAGGAGGGCAGTCAAAGTGTTCCTGAATCCCACAAAGCACAACATCCCACCTTTAAAACCCAGTATTAATGTGGCTTTTTTACACAAGGAGAAACAGCTGAGGAGGTATGATGGGAGAGACAAAGGAACTTCCAGGGCCTCCATCACCTTCAGCATCACTTTTTGGACAAGAGATGAGTCTGCTCCAGGAGTGAAGGAAGCAGCACATCTGAAGGAACCTTAGAGCTCACTTCCACCTCCAATAAACAGCAGGAAAAAGCACATGGCAACAAAAGTGAAAGCAGAAAAAATTCCAAGAAGCATTATTTGGAATTAAAATAGAATTATATAAAGTGTATTACAGTCTGTTCTATCATTTAAGAAGTAATAACATATTTATATATCTTTTATTACAGAGCAATAACCCGAAGAGAAGGAAGTAGATATTTAATCCATGTACAATATAAAGAAATAACAGAGCAGAAAAAAACACTTTCCCATTCAACAACATTCTAAAGATGCTCTTTAATTAGACATTTAAGCATTAAACATTTCTCAGTAGTAGGTTAAACTACTCAATACAGTAATTTCAGTGCATTGTCCAAGCAGATGTGGAAATGCAAACACATTCAAGGGCTTTGTGGAAACCTCGTGTCAATCCCCTCCCGCTTCCTCAGCACAGTTACAGAATTTCTGGCCTAGACCAAGAACCAGTAAATCCTCCAACTGCTGGGAATGCAACACTGTCACCTGTGGAAGTGGAAAACCCAGCCTGTGAGGATGTTCCTGTGAGCAGGGACTTGCCTGATTTCTGGGCGTGGGAGGCCCCACTTGGTGGAAGGAAATCTGTGCAAGGTTTTAAAAGGAGCTGGTCAGTGGTGGTGGCTGCACTGACACGGCCCATCCCCAAATTCCTTCAGAATCCTGGGGATCACTGCTCTGTGGGGAGCAGAGGGGCTGCCAAACTAACAGTGGCAACAGCTCCCATGAGAAACAGGGCAAAACAACAGGGAAAAGACTTTTACATCAGACAGACATCTCCATCTCATCTCCAGGGAGCACAGGGAGCTGCCACAGGAATAAAACCTGGGAGCCAGAGATGTGCAGATGGGACTTGTCTCCTGCCATCCTGCTGCTATTTCCTGCAGACTGGGACTGCAAATCCCCCCCTGTGACTCCTCCTTGAGGTGAATTGGCACATGGTTTTGGCAGCTCCAAGCCTGACAGACAGCAGCCTGGGCAGGCTCCACGGGAGCTGCGCTCCCGAAACGCTGATTGGGAAAAAAAAACAAAAGGAGAAGGAGCTGAAGTGCTGGTGCTTTATGGTTTGTACCCACAGGAGCCCCTCAGCAGGACGTGGGGAGTGCAGCCCAAGCAGCTCTGCCAGGTGAGGAGAGCTCTCCACTCCCCTTTTCCCTCTTCCACCTTTTCCTGCTTGAGCCTGAGGAACACCTGGAATCACCTGGGCTACGCTTTTAAAGGTTACTGAAAGAGCACTTATCTGGGGCAAGAATCGAGTCTGTCTTCCATGGCCATGGTGGTTGGTGTTTCACAATCAGTGTCCAGAGACAGGGAATATCTGAGAATTAGGGATACCCAAACACCCACGTGCTCCAGGAGATCTCTACTCCGCTATCAGCACATCTTGCCAAAGGAAAGACAGGAAATCATCAGAGAAACTGAAGATCACATTTAGGTTATCCCACAAAATCAGCATAAAAATAAAAACTTAAACCTGGTATTTACAGATTAACAAATAAAAATATGAAGTGGGACTATCTGAACTGCTATTAAAGTGACATTCAACAATTAACTGGAACCCTGATATGAGTGTAACATCCTCCCTCTTCCCTTCCTTTTTTGTTATAAAAACAGTATTTACATATTTTTACTTTTTTTTTTTTTTAAAGAGAACTGGTTGACATTATTGCTTGATCCTTTTTAGGAAAGACATTCCAATGAAGCAATTATTCCACATGCTGACAAAACACAGAATATACCACTTCAAGAGTGACAAAAATTAACATTTTGTTCATCTAAAAATTATCTCCATCTGCCAGGTCAGCAGATCACATGTAAATACAAGCCAATCAAAAATACATTTTACAAAAAAATAATCAAGTTTCCTTTTTCAATATGGCAGTAAACATGATTTGTTCTTCCACTCTCACCTTCCACAAGTTTCATTCTAAATAGGAGCTTACTATTTGTTCACCAAAAAAAAAAAAAAGAAAAAAAAAAAAGAAAAAAAAAGATAAATTTGATTAAAATTATTATTTTCATAAACAAACACAAAACTCAGCCAGACACATCTCCCAGAGGTGAACACCTACAGAGTCTGTTCCACAGCGAGGGGAGTTCCCTGGATCACAGCACTCCCAAATATCTCTGTTTTCCAAGACTTTCTGAGGTGCTGTGACCCAGGGGAGTTCTCCTGCAGGCAGATCTGAGGTGCCACTGTCCCCCCAACCTGACAGACACAGCTTTGTATTTGACTATGAATTGAAGCAGCTTTTCTCCACAAAACAGGAAGGCACCATGCACAGAGCAGTTGAGGCAGGAAGCAAACAGCAGCAACATGACATGGGGGTTTAGGTTCAGATGAGTTAAGGCTTCTGTTAAACTTCTTTATCTTCTCCCAGTTAGAATCACTGTCTGGAAAGGAAAACAAAAGGAAGTTTGTGATATGGTCAGGCAGCTGGAACAGGAACCCCCTTGAAATGTGTTTTCTGTTGCAGTGCCACCTTGGCCTTGTCTTGTTTAATGCATTAAATGCTTAAGAACCACCCAGAATTGTGCTGAAACCACACAAAGTTTTCAAACTTGGGGAAATCCCAGCCCCACCAGAGTGAGGGTTATGAAAATCAAATGATGTGCAGAGAATTAGTGGAACTGTGACTGGGAGTGGAGGGGCTCTGGTGCACAGGGCAGGGTAAGGGCAGTGTTTGTGGGGCCACAGTGATGTTTTTTCCTTTAAGGATTTGTGGGTATTCATGAAACAATTTCATTACATTAAAAACAGTAAGATAGGTTTCTGTGATCTCTGTATGCTTAAAGTTGAACCAACACATCAAAGGAAATGTGAGTTTGTCACTGCACTCCTGCACTCAGCAAAGCCCCCCTTCCTACCCAAGTACCTTTTCAAACCTGATTCTCATAATGGCTCTGTCTCTTCTTTGATTTCAGCTCCTTCAGCCACTGAGGAGACTTTTCTTCTGACCTAAGATATAAAAAAAAAATAAAAATACTCTTTATTCTCTCATTATGAAAACTCCTGACGGAAACAACAACAACAAAAAGGAATGTACAGCTTGTTGCGTTATTTCTCCTTCCAGCAAGAAGAGCATTAGCCTTCTCCTGACGCTGGGACTCTCTCACCTGTCCTCCTTTTCCACACTGGAGGGCAGCACTCTGCTGCTGGGAGTGCCGAGCTGTGCTTTGGGGGATTTGAAGAGCTGAGCAGAGCCGATGTCACCAGTGCTCTCAGACTCCTGTCTTTTCCGCAGCTGGGCCTAAATATCAAAATAAAGAAAGGGGTTCTTTTAAAGCCAGCATCCAGGCTTTTTTTTTATTTATTTATTTATTTATTTTGAATGCAGAATGGATCACTCCAGATATATAAAAACAAAAAAAATCCCTGAAATGAGTGAGGGATTTCCTTATAAAGCACTTGCAGCTACTGAACTGGTTTATCTCCCACCTCCTGGGCTCTGCCTGAGCTTACCTTGAGAACAGAGTGATCCATCCCTGGGAACACGGGCAGTCTCTGGGCTTGCACAGAAGACGACCTTGGAGTGTGCTGGATCTTCTCTTCCTCCTCAGAATCTTCCTGTTGCATAGTTTTCTTCTCTTCTAATTAATTGTTTTTAAAAAAAAAATAAAAAGAAAAGCAGAGGGGGAAACCATGAGCCAGCTTTTCATCTCTTGTTCGAGATCTCTTCCCACACTCAAGCAGGAACGAAGGGCAGTATTTAAAAAACGCCTTTTACAAACTCCTGCCCTTGCATCCAGGTACATCACAACCAATTATTCCAGGTAGCTGAGGGGTTACCTGTGGAATCTTTGAACATCCAGCCATTATCTGGTTCTTCTGTCAAGGAAAACCTGTTCTCCAGGTCCAGCCCTCTGCTCCTGCGCAGCGAGTGGGACGCGGGCGCCCGGCACCGGCGCTTCTTGCTCAGCTGCACCCGAGTCTTGAGAGCACTGGAGTCCAGGACAGCCGTGTGCTGGAGAAAAAACAGACCTGGGAATGAGCCCCACCTCCTCCACAGTTAAATCCCAACCCATTTGATTGCATTCATCAATTAAAATAAACATTTGCCTGATGATTATTATTGTAGTCACTTAAAATCATACTAAAGGGAGTGCATGATGGACATGGACATCGTGGCTAACTGGGTGTAATCCTTGGATCTCTCTAGGCTGTGGATGCCTGAGTTGAATGAATAATTTGCACCAAATTAATATAAAAAATAACTGCAGTAATGAGGAGTTTGGTTCCTAGAGTGTTTTATGACTACAGGTCTTGCTAGCCAGTAGCAGCTGAGGGCAAATCCCAACACTGGGGTCTAAAAAGAGCAACTACACAAAATTCTCTTGGAGTGCAGAGCTGCAGCTTCCCTGCCAGCCACAAACACTCAAAGCCACTCACCAGCAACAAGGACACTCCAAGTTTAGTGTCACAGCATTCAGAAAACTTCTGTGATCAGTCATTTCCAACACATCCAATAAGCAGTAACATTTACAGAGCAAAGCAAGGAGCTGTCATTTATTTACTTGCTTAAAGCAATTTGCTGTTACAGATTTGCCTTTAACCACCAAATATCCCTGAGTCTCTCCTTCTCCAGATGTGGGTTTACTCCTTTTCTCAAAAGATTTCAGGTCAGGAATAAACTACTCATCACACAGCATTTCCCAGCTGCACTTGGAGCTAAAAATGTTTTTACGGAGACATCTGAAGTGGCCCAGGACAAAACAGAACCTTCTGGAAGTGCTCAAACACCGTGTGGATGTGGCATTTGGGGACACGTTAATGGTGGCCTTGGCATTGCTGGGGGAACAGCTGGACTCAATAATCTTACAGGACTTTTCCAAACTAAACCAAGTTCTTGCAGCACTAGACCTCATTAACTGTGTATGACCAGAAACTCCTGGTCTTAAACACCAACTGCAAGATTCTTCACTATAGAAAAATCCTTTAAAATGCAACTGTGAGCTACTATGGAAAGAAACCAACGGTGAATAAAAAAAAAATATTGGTGAAGGTCTTTACAGCCTTAAATCTGCATGGCTGATAGCACAGCAGGCACTGGCTGTTTGTGTTACTTAATTATGCTTCCAATATTCACACCTGGAAGTGTCTAAGGCCAGGTTGGATGTGGCTTGGGGAAATCTGGTCTAGTTGGAAGTGTGGAACTGAATGAGCTTTAAGATCCCTTCCAGTCTGGGATTCCATGATTGATTATCCAAGGCCAGCAGCTTTACAGAACCTCTCAGAACCTAAACACCACAGAGACTTAGAAGAACTGTGCAGTTTTGATCCCAAACTTCTCAGGCAGGAAAGCAGCTGGGAAAATTCAGTGTGGGAAAGGCAAAACTGGCTGCAAAGCTTCCAGAAGGAACTGCTTTGCAGGGATTAACTGAGGGCACACACGATGGCAACTTACATCGATGAAGGAGAAGTAACTCTTGTCCTCAGGGAGCGTGTCCCCTGTAGGAGGCAGATCAGCCCCATCAGTGGAGTCCATGTCCGTGCTGGAACGGTCCAGGCTGGTGCTCCTTTGGTCTTTGGAGAAGTCATGGTGCTCCGGCAGGGAGGGCGGCTCTGTCTGCGAGGAC